CGGCCTTCACGCGAATGTGTCTCCTAGATTTTATCAAATGGTATTTTAAATAATATCAAGTCATTTTTGAGATGTTTGGGGGGAAATATGTCAGTATTCTGATGCTGACAGTGGCGTAAGTGGTGGTTACTGAGTTCCATATGTTGCTCGCATCTAACAATACGAGATTTAGCCGGCCCATGTCCTTTTGTATAGATATGTTCGACGGCGGAAAAAGGCGGGAAAAGCTTGAAACGTGCAAATTACTTTTCAATATATACCTTGTAAGTGCGTGATCCCGAGATCTCATACATCTTCGACTGCAGCTCGACCTCGGATTCACCATCTAGAACCAGTCATGGCTAAAGCTGAATCCTAACCCTCTGAGTTGTAGTGTAATCCAGGGAACTGGGCAGGCTTAAACCTGAGTTATTACATGTAGCAGATTACATATATAGCAATCAACCGCTAGGGTAAACCCTCGAGATGATCATAACAACAATCGGAACCTTCGATAATCCCTGCAGCGGTATATATACGATGCCCTAACAACCTTGACCACAGCGACTTCACCACGGCACGTGATATATATATACCCTGATCGGACAAGGACGGGCTTGTTTTGATGAGAATCTACCTTTCTATCTGTGCCTTTGACTATTGCTTCGAGGGAAGATCAATAGGAGAAGATTACCTCTAGTTCGACGTTTGATCTTTGGACCAACGATCCAGCAACTAGTCATTGGCAGACGCCATCCGATTGATCAATCTTAACCCTGGAAGAATACATACATTGATAATGAATTGGAAATATAAGTTAGAAAAACAATTTACATATATCAATTTATTTGCAACAACTCTTCCCAATAGTGGGCGCTTGCGAGGTATCTAGACGACAGAAACAGGAAGAGGTTACAGGTACATCAGCCACAGCAACGGCTATCTCCAACTGCGGCCCAATAATGCGCGCCTCGTCATTCCGACCCAGACGTATCAAACATTCATGGTAGCCCTGCAAAGCCCATACATTATTCGGATGCTGACGAGCACGAATAAGAGTGCCATCAAGACCAAGGTCAGCTTGGTAGACAGCCGCTGCATCCTCGACATGGCCCTGCTCTAGCAAAAGAGCAGCGTATGCATGGCGGGTGGGCTGCATCCAGCTCCAGGGCTCACTGTAGCCCAGCCCATCGTCCAATTCAATCGAGCGACGTAGATGCTCGAAGGCCTCCGTGTAGTTCCCACGGCGGTACTCGATCTCACCGTCCAGCATTTCCGACGCCACCCCCAGGATATCGATACACTTGTTGGGCCAGTCCAAGCGCGTATCCGGGACTCGATCTCGCGCTGCCCGGTACAGCTCTCGCTGACGCTCTGCATCCGGCACGTTCCCTGTTGCTGCATATGCCACGCCCTTGGCGTAGTGCAGAACCGCTATCGTCATGCAGTACAGCTCTGGATCTGAGGGGATGGCAATCTTGATAATCTCGTCCCACATGCCGAACCGTATCATGATGTGCGCGCGCACAGACATGAAGATTTCGATGTAGTCGGCCATGGCCGAGAGCAATTCTTTCGGTAAAGTCGCCTCCATGCGGTCCACGGCGGCAAATGCGGCCTGTTTCTGGCCCGCAAACATGGCCGCGTAGATGAGGGAGTGGTAGGTGTGCATGCGATAGACGGAGTAGAAATTAAATGGGCCTTTCAGCGCCAGGTATTTCTCGTCTGCAATCGCGGCACGTTGGTTTGCGCGGACGGCGCTTCGATAGTCTCCCACCAGCACGTCCAGATGGGACGGCATATGATTGATATGACCCGCGTCCGGAACCAGATCGCGGAGGTAGTCGGCCGGTCGCAGGCCTAGTTCTGGAAAGGGCGACATCTCAATAAGGTGAATGTAGATGTGCAGGAGACCGGGGTGTTTGGAGGCGTCCTTATGTTTAAGAGCGGTCTCTAGCACCCTCTTTGCTTCCATGGTACGGGTGCCCGGATTTGGTTTTCCGGTCACCATGTCCCACAACTTCCAGGGCGTGAGGCTGATCAAGGAATCAGCGTACAGAGTGACCACGTCCAAATCATCGCTAAACTTTTCATATGCCTCTTTCATTGCATCGGCATATGCAATATTCTGAACGGCATATTGATCCATGCTCGCAGGCTTATCACTCTGATAGCGGGCGGAGATGGCCTTGGCGAGGGCCTGTTCCACGGCGTTCCCATTTTTTACAGACAGGAAGCGAGCTTTGGTTGCGGCTCGATATGTGTTTTCCACGACGGCCGCCAAATCGTTGCCGAGGAAGTCCCAGGGCTGGTTGTAGTTGGGACCGAGAGAGTAGGCCAACCCCCAGTAGGCCATCACACATAATGGATCATGCACCAGTGCCTGTTTGAAACAGACGATGGATTCCTTATGGTTGAAGGAATATGCCCACACGAGACCGCGGTCAAACCATATTTGAGCCTCAGGACTGGTGGTGGTGATGACCTTCCCGTATGCCCCTAGATTATACGGATATTCGACCTGGGTTGATCTTTTTGTCATGTTGCTGATATATGCCCTGGTGACACCGTATGATGTTGGCGGGAAGGTGAAGGAGAGAATCTTGACGAGTTCGGGTTTAGGCGGGGTTCCCGCTACTTGTACCCAACGACTTCGGACTTGTTCCAATTTATTTTATGTTTTATGTTTTATGTGATGCTGTGAATCTAATGAACTATTGAACTATTGTGAACTATGCTGTCTATACTGCATCTTATTGGATTCCCAGTCGGAATGCAAATGCGATTAGGTTGTACTAGATTGTACTAGATTGTACTATTGTTAGTAGATCACCATGTACAGCCATTATACCACGAGATATGATTGCTTTTTTTCTCTTCTTTTTATTGATTGATTGATCTCTTTGATCTGAACAGAAACAAGAGACGTAAAAACTATATGCAAATCAGGAATGTATGGCAGTTCAGCCTCAATGTTCTGCAATTCCTATTTTCCCCGTCGCATCAGCCCACACTTTTATATATCCCCATTTTTTTTTTCTTCATCACATGTTGCACCCCAATTAGGAAAGACGTCTTTTTTAATAGAAAGGGAGTTCGTACTTTTGAAACCATCTGCTAAGCCTGTCACTTGGCTTATTTCTGCAGGGATCTCTAGCCAAGGCGTGAATACAGGGTTAGACACAATGGGACATGGGACGGGCCAACTTCCAGGTATATATCGCCACATAAGAGTAGAGACCCCTTATATTAACTACAAATTAAGTTATGCACCTCCTCATTGACATGGCAAAGGTTAGTCAGCACGCTAGCAGTGACGTGGGCCCAATGACACCTCGGCAGGTGACATTGCTGAGAAATCAAAGGTGGCAGTCCGGATTTTGAGTATAGGCTAGACCGAACTATAAGAAAAAGCAAAATGCCATTAGCTGACTTGTTGTCTTAAAGCCGCAACAATACCGGTGGAAGGATCTCCAAGCCTATTTTTTTGTCAACCAATAAGAATGAAGTTTATATAGAAAATAGGCCAAATAAGCCGGCTAAATGTGAGATATCGGCATAATAAAGATGTGCATTCCTATTTGAGACATCTTGCAGATCCGAGCCAATCCTCTGTCGTGCACTCTAGGCAGACGCTTATCTTGGAGGACTTTGATACTCCCGACTACTCCGTATACTTTCCCCAGACCCTTAAACCTTCCTCTTCCCTCTTCCTCACTCTCGACCGAAAATTCCTGCCTCCAATAACCAGACACCGGACGACCAGACACCGGACTGCAACCCCCACGCTCCCCCGTGGAAGAGCCCAAATACCGGACTACAACCCAATCGCCCGACATGGCACTGTCACTGTCAGCTTCACTTAAAACATCCCTACTAAACTGCGGAACCTTTATCAGTGAAAGACTCGAAGCAGCTCCCTTCCAGACCTTCCTAGTCTTGGCATCTGTCTGGATACTCTCTATCCCGACTCTTGTGTTTTTGATGACCCGCTACTGGCCCTCGTTTAATTCCAAAAAGGCCAAGCCTGAACAGCGACGCTCGCGCGAGAACACCGATGCCAGCGAGACCCCTACGGGGACCCCTATTCAAACCTCGAGTGAGAATAAGGATTGAGTCATGGGGCGCAAAACGCCACATGTAACTACGGGGCTAGGTGGGAGCAACACCAGTTCGTCGATCGCTCTATGTCAGCCCTGAACGAGGTAGTCTATTTTGGATTTCCTGGTGAATGGGAATTGTTATTGGTTGCTCTCATGCAAGTTCAGTCTAGGTTGTTCCTTTCTTCCAAGCTAAACTCATTTAAGAATGCCTTGCATGCCGAAGGCGGGATTTGCCGTCCACAATATGCGGGGGATCTACGGGAGTATATACAACACCGGTCTCTGCTTTATATACTTCATATTGTTATTCCCCGCTTTGACGATATCATGTCACGACCCTTTCTGCTATACTCTGTACCTTGATCAGAAATAGGAAAATGTAGTAGACCAAGTGGCTGTCCGCAGTCAGAAGACCTTCATTGCTTGGCTTTCATTCCCTAGAACTGCTATAGTATCCACCGTAAGCTTACCCGATCCACATGCCTCATTCAGTGTCATATACCAACAAGACTCGGCCGAGTCGAATACACAAAGGGACAGCAGCCATCCTCAACGCCTCTCAACTAGTGCTGGTCCAGTAGTCCAATCCTACAAAGGCAACCGTCTCGCCAGCACGAGATAGGAGCATACCAAGTAAGCCCTAACGGCGCCATGCCTCTCCTACACGTGTGAATGTAACCCAATGCACGCCCAATTTGGAGTAAACCCGTCAGCAGAAGACACCCCCCGCATGGGATTGCCCCTTCGGTCAAGGCATTCTCCTCGACGAAGTACTTCTCATCGACTGCTCGAGCAGAAGCCCAAAACTATAAGAACCCCGAAGAAGAACGGAGCAAAGAGAGCTTCCTACCAGACCAGACCAAGCAATCATCAGAATCTTCCAACAAAAACCAAATACTTCTTCAGAATCTTTTCAAGATGCTCTCCAGCACCATCATTTCGACGTGGACGTCCACTACGTGGGATACTCCAGCGCGACCGAAGCCTGGCTCACCAGCCTGGACCCGCACTCAGCCAACAGCGACGAAGAAAAAGCGCGCATCCTGACCGAAGCCGCGTACGCGAAGAAATTTAGTTGGTCGACTTATAATGTGCGGGCTGGGTTCTTCTCGACTACTTGGACGGCTTGCAATCAGGAGGTTCAGGCTGAGCATAAGACTAGTGCTTCTTGTGAGGGATTCGGGACTTCGGATCAGGGTGGTGATGTTTGTCTTAGCAATCGTGCTACTGGATGTACCTAGGTTGTTGAGGATGGGAAGCTGAGGATGGGAAACAGAGGATGGGAAACTGAGGATGGGAAGTTGGGGCTTGAGGTGGAGGATGTTGAGGTGGAGGTAGAGAGAGTGGTGTTGCTATAAGGAACAGGGTGATGGTTGTTCAAGCTTAGGATCATGATTATCGTTGTCCATATGTAGTCATGCAATGCAATTGTTGCCCTTTTCCGAGCCCTCAGGACCATACCCGATCAAAGCGAACATTCTCTTCACTTGATAGAATTGTGTTGCATCGGGGACATGAGTAACTGCATAGTTAGTACGCTAAGTTCTCTTGGGTGTCCGGTTAGTGCAGCTAGTCAGGGGCCATGAACGGAATTTACAACAGAATAGGCTTTGAAGGATCCATGAATTCGATTCTTCGCCAATATTGCCGGGAACACCGGCAACATTAATACATGAGAATGCAAGCTGCAAGCTTGAGGCAAAAGCAAGGCCCAAAGCGACAACCAAGTAAGCCAGATGCGCTAACACCCAGAAGAAGAGAAACAGGAGGTGTGATAGACATCAAAAAGATCAAGATCAAGATCAAGATCGAAATCAAAATCTCGCCCATATGTACTACAGACCCATGCATGTAGCATTCATTGCATTGCGGTAGGCTGAATATCAAATGTACCATTTGAAGAGAAGGAAAAAGAAAAGAAAAAAAGAAAAAAGCCCACGAAAGGTCCCAAAGACTGGGTTTTCATTAGGTGATTGCAGAGCCTGCGACAGAAGCCGAGTTGGTCACAGAATGGATACTCCCGGGTGGCGCAGGTGCATGGCTATCCCCGTTCGGGATATGGGTTTCTTCCACAAGGACATGGTTCTCATCAATTCCTAGGAGAGACCGGGGCGGGTAAATCTCTTTCTTGCCGTTTGTCTTGTAGTAGAGAACCATGTCTCCGGAGGTGCGCCAGAGGTGCGTGCGAATCGTTGCTAGAGTCATGTTTGGTGGACACAGCTGGTGGATGAAGATTAGCATGATTGGCGACAATAAGATATGGGATAAAAGCTTACAGTCTTCTGGCAGTATAGCTCGAGATACTCCTCTGGTGGCATAACGGACTCCGGTTCATCCGGGTTGGCAGGGTCAATGCGCTCTGCGACATAAGCAAGAACCTTCTTCGCTCGGAGCATGCGGTTGGCATTAAGACGAGAGCCATTGTTATTAGTGTTCATATTTCCCGGAGGGGCACCATTGGGAGCTGGCCTGGATTAATAACGAGATTAGTTTCATCAACAACACGCATTCCAAAAGATCCAAAACATACGGGTCGGGCTTGACGACTGGCGGCAAGGTATCATCGAAAGGCTTCAATACAAAGGCGATCTTGACCTGCTCCTTGAAGGGAATTTGATTCTATAACGAGTGATCAGTAAGAGGGGAAAGAAAACGCGAGAAAATAGACGTACCTTCAGAAGAAGCTCACCGAGCCAATGAGGAATTGATTTCTTAAGGCTTTCGAGGTCTTCACCAACGCGGCCGACGGTACCTCTGTAGAGATCTGAGGCAACGGCAGTATCGCCAGTTTCCTCCTGAATGAAGACTGCAGTCCGGGCTGGGATATCCAGTCGCGGAGTTTCCTCCTCAGAACTAGGAGAAAGAGCCGTCTCCAACTCTCGATCTGTATTTGTAGCCAGAAATTCTTCATAATCATCACGAATGCGGTCAATGACGCCACAGAGATTGGGCTCATAGACCTTCTCTTCCTTAACAGAGGAGATCTCCGACTCTTCGACCTTTTCTTCTAATATCTGAGGCTTCGTTTCCGTAGAATTGCGACCCAACTTCTTGGGGAAGTTCATTTGGAACTTTTTTCCGAATAGTGACTTCTTCCGCTCTTCCTTATCAGGCTCTGCGGGGGATTGAGGAACTCCTGGAGTTGCATCCGACGGAGACAGAAGAGACTTGCCGGTGTCGGTTTGTTGGGCCGCTAGAGGCCTTTTCGAGAAGTAGTCACTTGGTGAAAAGGATGATGCCCCGCCATCGACATGGGAATTTGTTAGCCCTGAGGCATCAGGTGTGTCTGGTTCAAATGCTGGGAACGGAGAGTTGCTCTGCATGGAAGTGCTCATGTAGTTTGACGATGGTGTGCCAACATTGATGCCAAAGCCGATGTTCGGGCTACCAGGGAAGTCTGAGCTGGGACGCAGAGTCGACATATGATGAGGATTCGATATCGGAATACCAATGCTGCGAGGGACATCATCGCCAGATATCGAGGTAGTCAGCGGATTCAGTCGAGCATTTTCTTCTGCTCTCGCGATGGCAGTTTGGCGGTAATCGTTGTCTCGTCGGACTTCCTCGTCTACTACCAGAGCGAACAGCCAGCGCAAAATCCATTTGCCGAGATTGACTGCGTGTTGTCAGTATGGCAAAGAATATCCGCCAAGGTTGACAGTAGAGCAGAATAGGTAGTCGTAGGAAATACTCACTTCTTTGATCATCCCTAAACTGATACAGATCAGATAGTGGTAGATCGATCTCGTCGGCATAAACTTCTGCGTCGAAACAGCGATTAGGCTCCAGAATGACTGACAGCCTGCCAGTGCGTACGTTGATAGCACACCAATGTCCGATACTATCAACGGTGTTTACCTCTGACTCAACATCATCCATATGACGCTTGCCGAAGGTTTGGACAGGAATACACTAGGTTCATGTTAGTCGATGTCTAATACTTCTCCGGCTGAGATGCCAAATCACCTTCAGCAGGTCCCAGAGAACAACTTCTCCTGCCGAATCTTGAGTAAGTGTGCGCCTCCGATCATTCAACATCAAGCACTTGATCAAGCCGTGTTGGCCTTCAATGGTTTCCTCGGGCTGTGAATGAACCGGGATTGTCAGGTCAATTGTCGCCAAGTTAGGCTCCGAGGAATTAAGTTTAGGGGCTGCGCCACCAAGAATCGAGGTCGCTGATAACTGCAAAAGAGCATTATATGGAACCTTCTTCGGTCCCTTCTCTGGGGTTGCGGGCTTTGCAGCAGAGTCTATAGTACGTGCTGGGTCGGGGGCCGGCTCGATTCCCACTGTGATGTCAACATCTCGCCAGCGGTTGATACTAGACTTGGGGGTAGCTGTCCAGATGTAGTCTCCCGCCGCCACAACCTTGACAACGCCCTCGTGCTCTTGTAGTGCGGCGACGCAGAGGCCCTGGTCGGGATCGGCCGATCCTCGCATGTCGGTCTTCGCCACCAAGCCGGAGCGGTCACTTGAGTAGAAGACAGAGAGATCGGGGTGGTCCGAGTAAAGAGACCACACGCTATCATTGTGCATGGTCAGGGTGTTCATGCATCGACCCGCCGTGAGAGACCAGATCTTGATCGTCTGGTCAGAGGACCCCGTCATAATTGTATCGCCGGACTGGTTAATCATAATAGCACGAATGTTGTCCGTATGGCCCACGAACTTCGTCACAAGCTTTCCAGACCGGGGATCCCATACTCGGACGACATTCTCAGGGCCACCGCTAGCAAGCACCGACGAGACCGCACCCAGCGCATAGACAGAGCCTTTATCTGAGGAGTCTTCCCCACCGGCATTGATGTTCAGTATCTCCCCGCCGCCATTCAAATCCCAGAGGTAAACCTTTTGATCGAGACCGCCCGAGGCAACCCATGTAGCCTGGCTACCGGGGCTCGCCAGGGCCTTCACATAATCGGTATGTTTTCCAATGCGCTCCGGGACCTCGGTTGACTCGGAGTGCGGGCGCCAGAGTCGCACAGTCGTGTCGGACGAGGCGGAAACAAGCGCGGAATTGTCCTGTGCCAAGACTATGTCGTTGATCCAATGACTATGTGCTTGGACCTGGGTTTTGAAGACGGTCGGACGGGAATTCTGACCAGGAGACGAGAGCGCAGACGCAGAGGAAAGAGGAAAGTCGAGATCCCAGGAACAGATGACACCGTCGCGGCCCGCGGAGTAGCTAGGAGAGGGGACGTCATATTAGTATCCGTGCAATCCACGTGCCTGATTTCCGGAAGATCGCGATCGCAAACTTGGCACGGGTTCAAAACTAGATCATGGATGCCAGCACTAGCATAACGAGGGAAAGCTACTTACAGGATGGAGTTCTGACGGTCGACAGTCAAGCCATTGACCCCCAACCGGTGCCCACCGGGTGCATCAGGCAGAGGGAGGACTAGAGTGAGAGACACAGTCAGCGACGCGGGGGTAGATACACAGGATCCAACATACCATAGGTGACCCTCTGGTGGCTCAGTTTGCGTGCCATACATGCAGCGTTGAAGGAGTGAAACCAATTGCGGAGATGCAAATGCGGAGCTTATCTGACGAGGCCGATCGCACGTTCAGTTTTGGTGGGGAAAGGAAACGTCAGAGCATTCGCGACGATCAAAAGAGAGAAAGTCAAAAGGCCGAGGAAAAAAGAAGCGAAGGGGAAAACAGTCAAATGAGGGGAAGTTCAGAGTTGGAGGCGCCAGGGGTCCGGAGTTTATGTGTTTATGTGTTTGGACTTCCTATGTGATATCCAATACGACCTTCAAGTAGAAATCATGAGATTACTCGTCTTTCTCCATTATTTAATAGTCCGGGGGCCTTTCCTTTCCCTTTCTGGAATGCTTCTCGGTTATTTTAACTATTTGGCTACATCTATGAGTTCCATAGTCCTCTACTTGAACTGATACCCTATATACTTTTGACAAAGATACACAATACATAACTAACTAACTATTGCAGTGGGGGTTTCCAGAGCAGGATGACTAAGCGGCTATGTGATATAAAAGCACTCCCGAGGCATAGATAGCAACGCAGACACCTTTCCATCTTCACTTCTCAGTAGTCACCCCATGGTGTTCTCCTCTCTAGCACCCTACTACTCCTAGTGACGACTCTGCTCTCACACCTGTTTCGCAGGCAGGGCTGTCGGTGCCCCTATCCTAGGGACCCCTCTTCACTATATATTATGCACATCCACAAGACCCCGTTTAGAGGAACAATCCTTCAGCCCTACCAATGGGGTAGTAACATGTCCGCTCCGATGGTTTGATAGATTTGCGCTCAGTCTAGTCAGTTAGATGCTCCACTCGTCTCGTATAGAATGAGACTTAAGCTCGTGCAGAACATACGGATAGAGCAGCTTGGCTGCGTCGCCAAGATAGGGCTTGGTTTGGGGCTTCGAGAAGGCTGCAGCTCGTATAGATTTGCAGAACGTCTCACACCTTAAAGCTATACACGTCATTCTCCGTAATTGCACGAATGCTCATCTGATGTCAGAATTTCACCTATCTATAAGCCAGTGTATACAATATAAGGCTTCTTTTATGTTACCGATGAGCCTGAGGGAGAGACTTCCTCGCTGATTAGCCAGGCAGGTCTTGTCCATCTTATAGATGTATATCTTTGATTAACAAGTCGCCAAGGGCGTTGCTTCAAGCCTTGAGCTTGCAGACCATGATTTCCTGCAGATAGAGGGCATCCTGGCTGTTGAGCAAGTCCAGGAATTGAGCTGCTTGAAGCCGAAAGCAGTCCGAGCAAGTAAAAAGAATGACATATAATTGCTCAAACAACTCGCTTCCCAGAATCTACAAAATCTATGCTCTTCCAACCTTCTATATAGCAAAAATATACAAACTACAAGGCCAGAAAAATCCAATCAAAGACTTTTCTCCGCCTGCGCCGCCTGGCGTCCCTCAAGAGTATTCGAAGCATACTGATAACTCCCAAGGAAGACAGCCCCACCAATACCAATCCACGTCACACGCGGCGTGATACCACGCCAGAAAGCACCGGGCCCTTCACGTGCAATGCCGCGCACAATCTCCTTAACACGAACAGGCGCGTCAACGCCGCGCCGCGCAAGCATAACCCGCGTCTTGATCACGTCTAGCGGGGTAGTTAGGCCAGCCGCAATGGCGCCGGCAACACTGCCGAACATGGCACTTGTGGTAGCGGGGATCTGCGTCTCGGCGAGAGACGAGGCTGTCTCCGCAGTTCGCAGGTACCGCTTGCCGTAGGCTTCCTTCATTGACTCCCACATTGTGAATTGCAGCACAGTGAAGGGGATCTCGCGGGCAATTGTGATGCCCGCACCGCGGTAGAGTTCGCGGAAGACCTGGCTGTAGCCGCGCTTCGCTGCTGGGGTTGAAGGCGTTGTGGTTGTGCTTGTTGGGACCGCGTGCCGCAGGGACAAGATGTCCTTCAGTGCAAGGAGACTCGAGCCGCCGAAGAGGCCGGCTTGGGCACGCTGCTTAATGACTTCTGTTGGGACGCGGACGGCGCATGCGGCGATTTCGCCGAGGGAGGAGGCGAGTGAGTGTGTGAGGATTATGTGGGAGCGGGATTGGGAGTTAGTTTTGCTGTTGGCAGATTGAGGTACGAGCAGAGTCCGCTTCACGCTATCGTAGACGATGAAGAAGGAGGCGGCGGAGGGGGCAGAGCCAAAGAGGACGGATGGGAGGCCGGCATAGATACCGCGGAAGGTTTGGCGGAGGGAGACTCGGGTTTGGGGTGCGGTGTGGTCGCGTGCTTTTTGGAGTCGGGTTTTGATGGTGTCGAGAGGGTAAAGGGAGCAGTCGACGGTTAAGCCTGCAATCGCGCCGGACTATATAGTAGAGCTGTTAGAGGGATACTCCCGGAGAGAGCTCTGGAGAAGCTTACAATTAATGACCGCGTCCACAGGGAGGAGACCAATGGCTCCCCGTCAGGTTGGGCCATTTTTGAATAGAATTGGATATGGAGATAGTTCTATCACAAGAACATGGCCAATTGGTTGGAAAAGTAGGAAGGGAGAACGGCAACGACGTAGGTTGTACAGCAAAGTAGACGGAGAAGCTCCGCGGATATGGCTGGCAGTTTCTTTTGCTCCGCGGTCAGGCCATCCGATATCGCCGATCTTCGCTACGTCCAATTCAAAAGAATTTATACTATCGTAGGCTCGACGTTTGGATTGAAATTTATTTACTATTGAAGAAAATAAAGCTCTTTCGCACAAGCGTGGGGCATTGACAAAAGAATACCCTCAAAAAAACACGCACTGAGACATCCCACACCAAGTCTATCAGTACCATCCATCGTGAAGCCAGAGCCAGTGCTCCGTTTTCCCTCAACATCTTCACAAGAGAAACTCGAGCGCGATAAAATGTCACAGAATTTTATTGAAGAATATCAACTCATCTCAACCATGGCCGGGGGAATGAGGGAAACCGCCAAATCATCTACAATACTCGTAGGGAATCACACACTGAACGCGGAAGGGAAGGGGACAAAAGTGCCACCCCGTTCTCAAAGGATAAAGGGGATATATAGACACGAGGAGAAGTTGATACAAAGAAGGGATATTATTTGGCCCTGGCAGCTTTGCTGGCCACGGCAGGGGTCTGGGCGGGGGGCTCGAGGACGTGGGTGTGGCCGGGGGCATTGATAATTTCACCAGTCACGTCCTGTCGGCAGGCCTGAATGTTTTTTACCCAGTCATCCGCTAGGACCTCGTCGAGAGTCGCTCGGTTTTTCGGGTTGGTCTTCAGCATGCGGCCAATGATGTACCGGCTTTCCCGCGGCAAGATCCGGAGAAGTCGCCATGGGCCCTTGATGACCTCCTGGCGCTGCCCAGAAGGCTGGGTTGATGTCTGAACCGGCGGTGCCTCTTTGCTGGTGGTTCGGGTGGGCCGATCATGGGCGCAGTTGCTGGTTTGGCTGATCTGCTTTTGAGCAGTATCGGGAGGATCATCCTCCCTCTGGAGGGGGGGCTCTAATTTCTTTGCTTCTGCATCTTCAGCCCCGTTTCCATTTTGGTCCGTTCCAGACTGATCAGGTCCGCTCGAGCGAGGGGTCAAACGCTTATTGTCCTGGGCTTGGGAAAGAAGATCTGGTGTCGACTTGGGCCGACGGCGTGGCTCCGGTTCGGGAACCGGGGTGCCTGGGGTCGGGCTGGAAACGAACAGCTTGTATGAGTTGTCGGTCAGGCGCGGTTGCTTCCATGGGAACCGGCGCAAGGTCATACAGCAGAAGATGATCGCCAGCGACCAGACATCCGTGGGGCGAGGGTCATATTTCTTCTCGTCGTAGACCTCGGGGGCAAGGTAAGGATCAGAGCCAACGATACCTGGTCATGCAAATCAATAACCACCAACGGCGAACAAAAAAGATACAGGATTACTTACCTGAAGCAGGGACAATGTCGTTCTCAAAAGGATAGCGGAATACGACGGCACTTCCGAAATCAATAATTTTCATGATGCCACGGTCGTTCACCACCACGTTATCCAGTTTCAGATCCCGATGGGCCAGACCCATGCCATGGATGTACGCCACACCGCTCAGAATCTGCTTGAAAGAGCAGGCGATCTCCTCCTTGCCCATTTTGCCGGTCATCACGATAGCAAACAGATCGAACGGCGCATATTCCATGACCTCATACCAGCGACTGCCTTCTTGGATGATATCCAAGGTCTCGATGATATTGCCATGGTGCAAGGTGGAGCCAATACAGAACTCTGCAGTCACCTTCTTAGAGTATTCCTTCAAGCTCTCCCAGTTGTGACGGTCTCGGAATTGCTTGACTGCAAAGGTGACGCCGTCACTGTTGCGCTTCAAGAGACGCACCGAGCCACCAGCTCCAGATCCGAGCACTCTGCCCAGCTTTCCATACTTGGAATTCAGACCGTGATCATCAGCAAAGGGAACATTTTCGGTAGCCATTTGATACGGAGTGGACTTTCCAGCTGATGGACTCGACTTTTTAGGCATCGATGTCGGGGACTCGGATCGCTTGTTGCGATGGCCCATCTTGAAGAATCGTTTCAATTCAGACATAGAGCCATGATGCTGGTGGCCGTGGTGCTTATCGCTACCGTGCTCCTTCTTACCTCCAAATATGCTCCGCTTGTCACTAGGTTTGCTGAGGTCACTCGCGCTACTGGATCGGGGAGCCGAGGGACGAAATGATCGTTTGACATCCCGACCGCTGAAGATAAAGCGAGGATCCAACTGGGCAAGGTTTTTGGACTGGGGTGGTCGCTTATGGCGCGCATATGGATCATTAGGTTCGCCCACAGGGGTCATAGTCACTGGCGGAGTAAGAGACTCTTGTGGAGTCGAAGGGGGACTTTCATCTTGGGCGGTGCTCCCATCATTCCCAACGAAGAATTGCGCACGATTTTTGGGTACTTGGATAGCATGAGAAGCTCGCTCTGAACCTTCACTTTTTCTGGTAGGCTCGGTAGACTGAGGGCGGGAGGATGAGCTGGGTTGAGGCGTGCTGTTCTTGTCGGTTGATCCGACTGGAGGTGACGCTTCAGGGGTAAAATTAGTGTCCGCGTGGGGTCGGCTGGTAGCTTTCAGAGAAGAACTGTCGCTGGTTCGGCCTTCGCGAGAATGGGTTGCAGCTGGAGTAAGAGGGGGTGACTGTACAGCAGAGGCTGGAGGAGACGGACGCGGCGAGGCAAAGGCACCGGTGCCATGTCCGCTCCGATCACTCGAGTCTCGAGATGCAACCTATGAGGATCCAAGGTTAGTATGATGACGATATTGCCACACAGTCCATTGAGTCTCCACTCAGCACTCATCGGATTGTGGGAAGTGAATATCACTTGGCACGTGAAAAGGATTGGAAGACTCGGAAGGACACCCGACGCCAAATTAGAGATAGATATGGACATACCCTGGAGGAAGGAAGAGACATGGGGTCAAAGGAGAAGTTCCGCAGGCGGGACTCCTGAAGCTGTGCGCCCTGCATACTCATCGCCAGCGACCGTAATTGTTCCTCGTCCGTAGGTCGCCTTTGGTCTGGCTGGTCTGGTTGCTCTGGTTGCTCTGATACAGGGGACAAATCTGATCGACCTGGTTCAATCTCCTCCGCGATGGAGGAGAAACGGACTTGGTTAGGCTGAGCTCTTGACTTGGCATCGGCGTCACCGGGTTCCGAGGCCTGGCCGGGGATCTTCGCGGGGTTGTGCATACTTTGGGATTCTAGAGAGGTAGACGTGCGTCAGACGGTTGGCAGGGATTTGGGAGACACCATCACAACCGATCAGCACGGCAGCCAAGACATACCTGAACCCATGGGGTTGGTGGGTGTTGGATCAGTCATTTCAGACGTCATAGTGTTCGCAGTTCGGCCCGGAACGTGGGACACATGCCCCTCACGGTGGGTGAGTTGGAGAATCCTAGATAGCGAACTGAAAACCAGTTCAAAAGCTGTCAAATGTGGTCAAATCTGCAGAATTGGACGGTTTCCTCCCAAACAGAGCCTAAGGAGTCAAAGACCGACGCGAGAGGCAAATCTTTTCCCTTTTTAACTTTTTTTTCTTCCGCCGAATGCGATCGAGAGCACCCGGGTCTGGTTCAGGAATCCGGGAATCCGGGTATCCCGGGTCTAAACGAGAAGATATGAGAAGCGGAGATGGTTGAGGGAAGAGGCAGAAGGAAGTAAAAGAGAAAGAGAAGAGGGGAGATGTCAGGGTCTGGGCCTCAGGCAAACCTGGGATTTTGGGGGCGAGTGGGGTGGGAGGGAGGGAGGAAGACGACGAAGAAGAGAGATAGTGAGGGAGTGGTAGTTTGTCCGTCTTTGACCTCATTTACTGCATTTAATTCCCTTTTTTTCGTTTGGCCTATTTCCAATTTACCAGATGAGCACGATAATATGTCAAATATACCCCATATTTACCCAAACTGTCCTTGAAATGCCTTACCTCATAAGTCGGATGGCCGCGGAGAGTTCAAGATGATGTCGACCCCGTGCCGACTTCCCGGAGGCGCTGACCAGACGCTGACCAGGCCCTACGTACTCCCAAGCCTTGCTACGACGTATGGAGTACTCATGTTGTACATCGGTTCCCTCTGCAGGCCACTGGACGATGGGTCTTTGGATCTGGAATATTGCCTGAACGGGCTTAGTATATCTGCTGACTCCACTAGATTCCCTTTCCTCTCCGACATCGTAAAGGGCCAGGCCGTCTTTCTCCGCTAGATTCTCCAGACTCCATGCCAAGTAGCATGTCGACATTATGCAGTGACACATTCAGGGTCTGAAGTCACACACATGCCAAGTTCTCCGCTCCGCAGATCAGTTGGAGTCTGTGACCTCATCTGTAGGCTTCCGGTCACTTCTCTTGGTTGTCCAGTCATCGCCGAGAAGAGGTCCACGGGAAAACCGGGGAGGGTCTTAATATTGGTGTGATCACATGTCAGCCCATTTCAATTGCATTGTGGTGATTAGTTGGTCTATATTTGACTTTATAAGTCACTCTTGCCGCCGCTTGCGTACGGAGTAGTATATAACTTTCAATGTAGATATCTCTTGGATTTCAATAGATATAGCATACAATCTGGAAAAAAATAATAATCGGTATCGTACAACGGGGGAAGAAAAACCCCCAAATTTCCCAGAAAACGCCCGGTAAAACGATCCAAATCAAAACAAGCAGGCCCCTTGGAGCACTGTCGGAATGACCAATAATTATACAAGTCTATTGTCCTTGTGATGCTCAGGGAACAACCTGGATACCAATGGACTTGGCCTGGGACATGACACTCTTGCACAATCCCTCCAGGGACAAGCCTGATAACCGCGTCTCGGTCTGCTTGAGTTTGGCGATCTCATAAACATGCTTGAGGGAGATCTTGCCACAAACATCGTGGCCAGGATTCATCGCACCACGCAGCCGGTTCTTCCGGGGTTCGACATTAGCCGCGTTAAGCAGGAGATAAGTGGTGGTCGGGGTGCGCAGTTCGAAGGAGAAGGATCGGTCGGGGCGGACCGTAACACGCGCGGGGATCGGGACGCCGGTGTTGATGTGAGCTGTACGGGCATTGAATTCCTAGAGAAGTAGTTAATATATATGAACGGGTTAATCGATATAAACCGAGTAAACAAAGACTAACCTTGCAAAAGTCCATGGACTTGACACCTTTACTTCCCAGAGCCGGTCCAACAGGCGGACTGGGACTGGCCTGACCAGCTCCAACAATGAGCTTCACAAACTGATCCTTGGCCAATACGTTTCGTGCCATGATGAGAAGATGTCGAGATGGTTTCCAAAGGCCACAAGCAGAGAAGATCGAACTCGGAAGATTTGCAGATTTGCAGATTTTCAGCCGACGACGCTGATTGGCCAGAGCGGGAAGCGAGCACAAGAAACCCCAACGTCATAAGGTACACTCCTTTCTCTCCTCATCAGAAGCTTCTTTGGCTTCTAATCGATTCATCTAACCATCTTCATCTCGATATTCACGATATCTAGATTCAATCTCTATTCTAATCCGTTGGATCGAATATCTGGTGTATCTCTCTCATCCGGAGAGTCCCATTGACATCCGAACTAGAACTCTCGGGCCCCGCGCGTCGATCTTCCCTTCACCTCCCTTTTCCTTCTTCTTTCTTCTCCAGTTTTTATTAATTCCAAACTTATCGAAATAATGAACTGGTTAAAGTCGACGTACGTTCCGATCGACTCTTCTCTGTTGTGGTTACACTGACCGATTCCATGCGGACAGTCTCTCCGCCGTGGTGGGCACTGAGGAGCCTATCTATGGCCCAGAGGCTATCCAGTCTGTTGCGAAGCAGGGCGAGACCACTCCCTTCTCCGATGTGAACAAGGAGATTCTGCGCTGGCGTGCACACTCTTATACCAATGTCGAAACCCAGACCTTTTACATCATGGCCGACAACGGGACAGTGGTTTTCCTTCAGGTTATCTACAGCAACATTGTGTAAGGAACACTCAGCCGGAGCTTGAAGCTTCCACCATGAAATCAAGACCTACAGCGGCTGACTCTAATCCTTGATCTTGATTATAGTGGAATTCACACCACCGCCCAGTTCAATGTCAAGATTTTCGACCTCAGCGGAAAGGGCGACAACAAGTGGTTCTCGGACCCGCTCTCTAACTTCATGTTCGACGAGAACATGATTTCTTTCGGTGCCGACAACCTGTCGCTGACCCTCAACGAGGAGGGTGACTCCTACTCTATCAAGTCCACCGTCAACAGCGGCGCCCTGGTGGACATCAAGTTCTCCCGGACTGCACCCGGTTTCGTCGTCGGCAAGGACGGTACCTCATACTTTGGAACCGACCCCGATAAGCCATGGGGCTCCATGCGCCACGCTTTCTGGCCCCGTTGTGCCGCCGAAGGCACTATTACCACCAAGGACAAGACCTACGACATGACTGGTCGTGGTCTCTTCATCATGGCCCTGCAGGGCATGAAGCCTCACCACGCTGGTAAGAAGCCCTGTACATAGACTGACAACCGGAACCGCCGTATGCTAAAAAAACACACAGCCGCCCGCTGGAACTTCATTAACTTCCAGACCCCTACCTACTCCGCCGTCATGATGGAGTACACCACTCCCCCCTCCTACGGCTCCACCACCGTCAACGTCGGTGGTATTGTCAAGGATGGCAAGGTAATCTACGTCGGCACAACCAACACAGTGACTCACACAGAAACCGGCCACGACGAGGGCAGTGACTGGCCCGCGCCCAAGGCCATCAAGTGGGAGTGGAGCGGCAAGACAACCGACGACAAGGAGCTCACAGCCGAAGTCAGCGGTGGCCTCGGTTCGCGACTGGATCGCATCGACGTCATGGCCGAGGTGCCAGGCTTCATTAAGAGCATTGCTGGCAGTGTTGCCGGTACTCGGCCGTACATCTTCCAGGTATGTCCCTTCTTACCCTCGTCTTGTTTATTATCAAGATAATCATAGCTAACTCTCCTTGTACAGTACTCGCCTCAGGACAAGCTGTCATTGAAGCTGAAGATCGGCGATGAGGAGATCACCGAGGAGGGAACTATGTTCTCCGAGTCGACTTTCATCTCGTAAAGGTCGCCCGCCTAATTCGCGTACATAGTACCTCATTCTCCCCTGCGGGACTTGATTGTTGGCGTTCATTGTGATGGTTTTCGTGATGCCCTCATTTATGTCTAGAGGATCGGTTTGACTACTTCTTCCCTTATGCGGACCAGATAATCCACAGACTGTATACATGATACTTAATGCTATTTTGACCATATCCTGAAAATATATTAGTAGTCTGTAGATACGTAATGAGGTGGAGAGTACACTCGAGTTGCATTGGGCATCGTGATAGAATACATGTAGGATGTAAGTAGGCGAAAGTTACTGTGATTGTACAGACAAGATCAGACGTTCCCGGTGCTGATCCTCAAAATAAGAGGAAAATGTACAAAGAAAGATACAAAGTCGAATACAATACAATTGAACTCAGAACATGAAATAGAAATAGAAATCCGCCAGCGGTGCTAGTAGAACAAGAACACAACCCTTCTAGGAACTCCGGAAAAAAAGAATTAAACGAAAACAGGTACAAATCAGGCATCGACCATCAACTGCTCTCCTTCATCAAGAAGAGTCGTAACCCGCGAGAGATCAGAAATCATCTTACGGCCATGGCCGACCAACAAGAGCTTCTCGGCATTGGCAGGGAGACCCAGGTAGGTAGGGGGTTCACGCTCCGGCAGATTGTTAACCCAGACGACGAACTCGCGCATGCTAGTGGTCTCCGGCAGCGTCAAAAGATTGTCGTTCTCTACACCCGAGACGAGCTTGTAGCCGTCCTCGAAGGCGGCGGGTGTAAGGAAGCTATTGACCAGGTTCTCGAGCTGCTGGTAATCGCCTGCGTCGTCGATTTTACCACCGTACATCTCTGCGACAAGAGTGCGGATCATCTCCCAGGGAATCTTCTGCGGAGCAACGTTGGAACGGCCTTGGGACACTGAATCGACCCAGTAGTCAATGATGTGGGCTGAGCACTCGTACTGAGGGGGAAATGTTAGCGTCTCTGTGAAAAATAAATGGATGTAGGGTACTTACGTCGCTGTCGTTGAACTCCCAGAAGCCCTTCCATCCAAGGCTTGGTGCATAGCGGAGCCTTTCCTGGACGACGGCGTGCAAGAAGCAGAGTAAGAGATAGACACGGGCCTTTTCGACTGGAGGCTTGCTGGCTCTCACACTCAGCGAAGAGAGGGAATCCTTCATGTTGGCACGCACACCCGCGGGCTGTTCGTACATCAGCACACGCGAGGCCCGGATCAAATTGACAGGGATCTTAGGGCTGGACTCCATGGATAGGAAAAGACGGAATTCCTTGTGTGGTTTGAGAGAATCCAGCCTCTTCTCGAGACTTTGCAGCCAAGCAGGCGCCAGGTGGACGTTCTTAACCAGCACCCAGTTACCGACTGCAGCTGCGTTGCTGATGGCCTTGTCCGCGCTTTCGAGACCTTCGTTAGAACCCATGGCAATGTTGGCGCAGGTTGCGCGGGTGGCTTCAACAAGAGCGTCGACCTTGTAACTGGCATCGAAGCCAGGGCTGGAGCTGAGCGCGATGGGCCTGGTTGCAGTGACCTGGTCAACTACATCCTTTAGGTCGGCACCACCCTCGAACAGCTCGCGGCCGAACACCGCCTCGATGAAACGCTCGGCACTGGGAACAAATCGGTCCATGCGGCAAATCTTGACAAGGAGCAAGGACCGAAGCAGTTGATCCAGTTGCGACACACTCTCGTCCCACATAACCGGGACCACGTTCTCTGCAAGCTCCTCGCCGAAGAAACGATCCCACTGTTCTTGGGTAACGTTTGGAATATGCTCTTTGAAGAGGGACATGTTGGCCAGCCTCGTCATCACTTGGTCGCGAGCCTCCACGGAAGTTGAAAGATCCGCGTCCTCCACTGTCTCATCCAGGACGCGGTCGAGAATGGTCCTGTCCATGGGGAATGGGGTAGCTTGAGCAAGCAGAATGGCAAGTGTGATGCGATCCTTTTGAACGAGACCTAGGGAGGTTCGCTTATAGGTGTTGATGAACAAGTCCCTAACAATAATCTGGACACGCGCAGCATGATCCTTCTCCCGAGCAAGGCGTTTGTTCTGGTAGAGAACAGAGTTGAAAATATCGACGAAATACTGCAGAGAGAACTGGTAGAAGTGATTGATGTGGTGAAGTTGTTCTAGAACCGCAAAGACGGCACTGCAGGAACGGGCAATGATGCTGTAGTTCTGCGTAACGTTGTCCACCTCGAGCATAACACCTTCGGTTTGATCCATCTTCAGAGAAATCTCGGCAGCCTCCTTTTTGAGAGTTTCAAGAGTTTCAATGACATTGTCATCATCGAGAATGTTACCACGGGACTCGTTGAGAGCCTGCAAAAGACGCTTCTCGAGTTGCCTAAGGTGGACCTTGAACTCTCCTTGCATCTTGACAAGGTTGTTGCGACGTTCATCGACATCGGGCCGCTCGAATTTCAGGACATCATTCAAAGACTGTGTTTGCAAGCTGCTCTGGGTGACAGTGAAGTTGACGAAGGTGGTACGACTGCAAATATCCGGCGGGAATGTGGCAGATGGATCGCGGGTGGATAGGAAGAGCTTGAAGGATGGCGAGAAATCGATTTCTTGCTTGCCCAATTGAATGAGGACACGACCACCAGTTTTCTGGTATTCCTTGTTGAGAACGTGATTGAGAATTGGGTCCAGATGTTCGGCATCCTGGATAAGGATGGGGTTTCCGAAACGCAACGCGCTCTCCAATTGCTTGACAAAGGAATCGTCCAAGAAGCTCGTGACAGTGAGTTTGCGATCTTTGCTTTCCTTCTGTAAAAATTCCGTAATACGGCCAGATGGATCAACAATAAGCGGGTATCTGTTGAATCTCTTGAGAATGATGGCGTTCTCTGTGCAAAGATCGTCAACGGGAAGAGAATGACTCTGCCAGGTCAGGCGTTCATCGGCATTAGACAAGTATTCCGTTATGGGATTGTGAGGCTTGAATTGAATGCCAGATGCCGCCAGTTGGTGGACCCAGTCCTCAGCCATTGCCTTGCGGAATTGCTGATCGTAAAGACCAGCATATGCAAGGAATGCAGCTGCAATGAGAACATCGCCAACGAGAGTGCTGATCTGAGTTTCGAATGACTTGCTCCCTTCTTCCCAGCGCCCACGCTCAGAGGACAAACTATCAAGCAAACGAACACTGCGGTCGACCTTGAATTGAACCCGATTCATCTCGGTCTTGATTGCCTGCGTCTCACTGATAAGGGCCGCGTACTCGGCCTTGTAGGTGGCGATGCTAGTTTCGAGGTCATTGATGGTATTTTCGATGGCCTGAGCTTCGGCCTTGGTTTGCAGGGCCTGCTCCTCAAGTTGATCCACCTCTTCACGTAGAGGGCCAACACGATCAAGGATCGCAGAGTAGTTGACCTGGGCTTCAACCCATTGCACCAAAGGACCGCAGGCCTTACTGGCACGGTTGACTCGCTCATACGTGAAGTCTTCCTTCGACAGGAATTCATTCTGCATCTTAGTACGGTGTCTGCGCGTCATCTGGCGCTCATTGTCGTAGTTAACGATGCTGGCGATGAAATCATCCCGACGAATGAGACCTTGGATTGTTTTCCAACTATCGACGGTGTGTCCGAGGAGTGTGCATACGGCTTCCAGGGCAAGTCGGACGCTAGCCGGAGGGTTACCCATGGACCGAACTTCCGTGAGGTGTTGACGCTTAATGTTGCTGACACTCTTCTGGGCTTCCAGGACAGCGGGTTCAGCCCGGGCCAAATCGTTCAACACGACTTCTTTCCGAGTTGCCACTTCCTTCTCTTGTATCTCTAACGCGGCCTGCACTTCCAATGAAACGTGCTTCCGCTGTTCTGCTTCCTGCTGATCAGCGACCATACGCTGCAATTTATCGTTCGCTTCCGTATCCTTCTTCTCCAATTGTGTCTTCTTCTGTGCGAGACTAGCTCGAAGGTCGCTCACTTTGTCGACGGTGTCATGAAGTTTTTCGAGACCAATGTTCAAGTGACGTTGTTGCTCCTCGAGATCCTCGCGCTTCTCGTTGAAAAGCTTGACATACTGCGCAACAAAGTCGAGATAATGGCGAGGGGTGAGGAAAGTCGTCCGGCCCTGTTGCTTGTGGAGCCGCCCATTGAAGCGATGCAAGGAGTGGTGAATAAACACCATGGAATTGACAACAGTGTCTCTGTGTGATGCTGGAAGAGTCAACTCGCGGTATGCTACTGGGATGCTATCAGGCGAGATGAAGTTTGGTTTGTCTAGATCGACCGATTGAGTGAGCTCGGAGCCAACTTGGAACAAGGCTTGGTCAGACCAGTCACCCATCCAGTTCAGGACACAACGATTGAACAAGGCGGGACTAGTAGCTGCTTTTGAAGATAGACCATCCTCTGGCGGGTTCATGGTAAAGACAACGTGCAGGTTCTTAACGATTTGCGAGGTGAACCACTTGTACAGCTCCTCCTGCGAATCTAGGAGCAAGCCTTGACGCTGGGCACCCTCTTTACAAGCAGTCATCAATGAGGAGAATTCGTCGCCCTCAAAGAGACCAGGGACTTCTGCGTTTGCAAGCAAAGTATTCATGCGTTCCAGGAATCCAGAGTCAAGAACGTTTGATTCATCCATGACAAAGCAAATCTTTTCGCCTTTGCATCCTGCCCGGCGAAGAACGCTGCGAAGATCGTCATCGAAATCTTCCGAAGAGTACTTCCCGTGTACCTTGATCTGGAAGACCTTCAAACCATTCATCCAAGCGACGAAGCGAGACAGAGTTGTCTTTCCACTTCCACTCACACCGATAAGAATGAGATGACCTTGAGGCTGGCGGAAGACTCGATCGATGCGTAGCGCGTGCTCAAGGACATCGTTGAACAACACAAGCGGAACATCCACCTCTTCTTCGCAGAAGGTTCTTAGACGTGCCTTCACGAATTCACGCAGACTCTCCTGTTCGACAGGCACGTAGTTCTTGGACAGCCAGTTGGAGAACAGGATAGGACCCTTCAATGCTTCTTGTTCATCGATTGAAGGGAAATGTTCCAAGGCAATGCGGCGAACAGCATCTGCCGTCCAAGCTCTCTCATCTTCATCCACGAGTCTGTCCTGGAATAGACGCAGGGCTTCGTGCGCCCAAATGCGGACCAGGCCTTCAACAGAAAGGGTTTCCAATGGCTTGATGGCCTCATACAGACCTCGAACCCATCTAGTGAGCTCACGAGGCGAGTAAACGTAGTGGGGCTGGATTTGGGGCGTGAAGCGGGTTTGGGATTCGAGGTAGAACTGAACCATGGCCCTAGTGAGTGCCTCGGAGTATCCACGCAGCAAAGGAAGGATCTTAAGCACAGCAGAGTTGAACGTGCCATAGATTTGGTTGAGAGAGATTTCGCCGGGGTAGTCGACCATGATCAGGGGAGCATGACGCAGGAATCTCTCGGCCATCGGTGTACGACCAGCATCCGTAGGAGGGTTACAGGCACCAACAAATTGAATGCGATCCAGGGTGACCCAGGTCTTGTCGGTGGTTCGCCAGAAGCCATTCTGCTCCACAAGTTGGCGCAGGAATGAGATGGCGCGCTGAGTGCCGTAGCGATCAGGGGCCGGAAGATTGATCTCGTCGCAGAAAATGACAAGCCAGCGGCCGATCTGGTTCGGAGACATCACCACACCATTAAGAGTCTTCTTGTACTCACAGTACTGCTCAAAGGTCTTGATCAGGAGGTCAGGTGTGGTGGCACTCGAGAAGTTGAGACCAACGACCTCCATGTTCGGGAGCTTTCGGAGTGCGGCGAACAATGTCATGGTCTTGCCGGATCCAGGAGGACCACAGAGCAACAAAGGCTTATGCTCAGCAAGCCACGAGTACAACACATCTTCATGACGGATAGTATCGACCGTGGGGATAATGACATCGGTTTGAGTGACGGAATGTGTGTTGATATCAATCGTGGGCACCTGTGAATGCCAACTAGTCCAGTCAGACCTGGGAAGAAGAACGTCATAGTCAATCAGAGATGAATCGCCGTCCGGTGGAAGATCGATAGTAGACATTCCAGTGATGTATTTTCCGAACTCCTTGCGATCACTTAGTGGACAATCACCGGTAAGAGACCAGACCAGCGTCAGAAGAAGCTTCTTGGACATGTAGGACTCAATCTGTTCAGAGTCCAGAGGGAAGTCTGGATGCTGGACATTGTATTCGAGAACGTTTCGGCAGGCCTTGTTCAACAAGCTGAAGAGAGTGTTGAGGGCGCGGATATCCGTGAACTCCATGATATGGTTGTATTTCTTTGCTTCCACCAAAGCTCTGAGAACCAAGTCATCAACCTCCAAGAACTGTTTGAGGATTGTTGCAACTGTGTCCTGGGCATCCTGTGTCCGGATTACTGCTGTCCCTGCGGGAGCACTGTCTTCATCCAGGTCCTCGAATGTCTTTGTCCTGAGGCTTTCGACGTAGTTGGAAATCATCATGGTTGGAGTAACAGTGTCGGCATTGAACCACACCATACCGCAACGACTGACTGTGGCAAGCGTGGCATACTTCAAGCTTTCAACTTCGAACATGATGCGAACATTTGAAGGTAGGTTGAGACGCTCTCCATTGGGAAGAGTGAGGAGTTTGTTGTCATCTAGAACACTGTTCAGGTTCTCAACCCATTCAGGATCAACATCTCCGTCGAAAACAATCCAATGGCGTTTGCTGTCCTCGCCTCGGAGGTTGTCTACGATCTTTCTCAGAATTCCAGTGAAGAGACCGTCTGTCCATTCACGGGTAGTGCTGTCAAGGTTACCATAGAGAGATTCCTTAGACATGACCTTAGAGTCGATGATGTGAGAGACGCCCTCAACGCCTTCAATGCGCTGCATCGCTTGCAGTAAAATCTTCCAGGCAGTTGATTTACCGGCTCCTGACTTACCAACCATCATAACACCATGGTGGATGCATTGAATTTGATAGAGTTGCAGTGCCTTGGTGATCCACATCTCGCTGTCGACGAGATGTTGCTCTTTGGTAGCAATATCACGGATCGCTTGGGTGAGTTTCTCGAAGTTGGCAGGCACATAATCCACGCCAGCGAAGTCTTCCACCTGGATTTCCAGCATGATTTCTACATCTTCTCGAATAAGCTTAGGAGCAATTGTCTCCCGGAGACTTTGAACAATGATTTGAGGTTCAATGACATCCTCGGGGCCTAGATCTCCCTCGGTACTGGCCAGACGCGCGCGCTTGAGACCACCTGAGCTAACAAGAACACTCTTCAATGCACGGAGACCGAAGTCGTAATGAGCCTGCTTGGAAAGTCGGGAAGCACAGTGGTCGAAGAAGGGGACTGTCTGCTTGGAGAGAGACTTGGCCTGCTTGAAACCTTGCGAGAAAAGCATCACTTCAGCAATTAGTTCCTTATCCGGTTTGGACATGGCAACACTGCGGAACAGCTTCTTCAAGTTGTCTGGCAAATTGGAACGACCAGCGTAGCCAGGGTTCATGGTAATGAAAATTCCGGTGTTGGAGTTCACAGCGAGTCGTCTTCCTACGAGTTCAATTTGGGCCTTGTCGCCATCTCCGCCAGTTTTCAGACCAATCTGGATGTTCTGGATCTGCTGAGAGACGGCCGACAAAATACGTTCTTCCAGACGGTTGAACTCGTCAAAGCAACCCCACGCTCCAACCTGACAGATACCGAGGAAAATCCGACCCATTGCTTGGAAATCGAATGTGTCGTCACAACAGAAGACGAGGGTGAAACGACCGAGTTGCAGGCCCAATGCCTTGACTGACTCAGTTTTACCGGTACCAGCAGGGCCATATGGCGAACCACCCAGTCGCTGGCAAAGAGCCTGGGTAAGGGTGAGGAAACAACGATCTGTGAGAGGCGTGCGGACAAGACGCTCAGGCACACCTAAATACTCGAATCCATAGGCGAGCTTCGCGTTGGCCATGTGGACATATAGGCGCTCCAAGAAATCGCCCGAATCGTGGAAGACATAACGCATCTGGAGAAGCCAATGGTAGTGAGTTGGCGTTGTGGCATTGAGACTTATGAGCTTGGAGATGCAGTCGCGCTGGTGAACGAATTCCGTGATCATATGCTCACACTTCTTGCGAGTGATCGGATCGAGTTCACCAAGCACCGTCGCAGCCAGCAACTCGAGAATCCGAACTTCGGAACCGTGCAACGCAGGGAGGGTTGCACCTCCTTCCTCCAAGGAATGTTGCACTGCGTTGGTCCAAGTGACCTGACTGGCGAGGACCACAATTTGAGCAGGGTAGTTAGACAAGAAGTCATTGAAAGCCGTTCGGTCCACATCGCTGCTATGGTAAAGAACTCCAAATTGTTCAACGGCCTCGCCGAGAAGCTCTGCCAGAGTCAACTTCATGCTGTTCTCTAGCGCGGAGAGCCAATCATTGATACGAGGAGTCTTGAGGAGGTTAACCTCTTTCTTCAAACGGACTTCTTCGCCCTCCTTGGAGGTAAATGCAACAATATTGTTATCGTCATCCATGACAAGGCCTGACATTCCAGCAAACATCTTCTTGAAATGCTTGGCGACACGGAAAATATCATTGCTGTTACCAATGATCTCCAACAAGTCCTCATCTCCAACAAAGTAAAAGCGAGGAAATGAGACACGTTCACGCTCCAAATATTCACCGAGTGCCTTTTGGATTTTGTTCAGCAAATCAGCCAGTCTCTCCAAGGACTTTTGAACATCTACAATTGCGAGAATATCCAAAACGAACGGAGATTTGTACACCTTCTTCATGACAGTAAAGAATTCCGAGTTAATATTCTGGAAACGGCCCGACTCCAAAGGAAGAAGATGCTTGATGTCAGCGTTGCCGGTAAAGACGCCTTCCAGGTAGACCCATTGTCGCTGGACGTCGATCCATACGTCGAAAAGGACATGGACTCGGTTCAGTTTATCTTCCCATGATGTAGCTTCTTCTTCAAATTCTTTGTAGTACGGAGAATGTCTCATGGCCTGGAGGGAGTTCAGATTTTCGCTGCACTTGGCGAACAGGTCGTCAAAGCCTTTGATCAGGCGGCATTTGTTCTGGTAGTGTACTAGGTCCAGAGAATAGTTCTGCCATGTCTCCCGAACAGACTTCAGGAATTCCTCTAATGCCATCTCACCCTGTGCCTGTGCAATGATAGCACGAATGATGGAATCGCTTGATGCGAGTTGTAAATCCCAGACATCACCAAGGGTCAAAGAGACAAGAGAGAAACGCTTGTCGGGTTTAAGACTCTTGTAAATTTTGTGCCAATGTCTTTCCTTGACGGCTTCGGATTTCATGTCTGACAAAAGTGAGTTGACTTTCAGCAGCTGCCGAAGAACATTCTGAATGTGTTCAAAGGCAGCATACTGTCTCATGCGACTGGGCATCTCCTTGGTCATTTTGATCAAGTTGTCAAGAGATTGTCGGAGCTTCCTAGGTTGCACGCTGGTCCACAGCCCATCGCGAAGGTCATTAAGACTGTTCCAGATTGTTGCTAGAGCAGCCCAGACAGACATGAAGTCTTGGACCTCCTCGAGGATGGGGGGAAGTGATGACTCGGAACTTGGGGGAAGATCGAGAGCTTCCTTGGCCTTTGATACCATCTCAAACTCGGACTGGAGAGCCTCGAGGCGAGACTGGAAAGAGCTCAGGGTGCGAGATGCTTCCTCGGGTGGAATAGTGCCAGAGACCGGCTTCTCATCATTCCATTTACCGATAACTTCGGCAATCTTGCCGGCAATGACGTGGTCTTCGGCGCTAATCTTTGCACGCAGGGCTTCGGTTTGCTCGTTGACAATTTTGCTCTTGCGGCTAAGCAGCTCGTTAAGGGCTGCCCATTCACCATCAACATTCTCAACGTGAAGCCAGTCATACGGGAACTGGTAACGTTGGCGGGCGAGTGTGGTTTGGCCTTGACGGAAGAGATCAACCTCGGGCTCCCAGACTCGAGTCTTCCGCTTGCACTGCTGAACAATGGTAATGAAAGACACGGCATGCGCCGTTGAAGAGGCCTCTAGGGTTTGGCCTTCCAAGTCCCTGCGGGCAGCAGCAATCTCGGAATGAACCTCTCTCATGCGGCCGCCAAGCTTAGAACCAAACTTCACGAGGATCTCATGCTGCCACTGGTCGTATTTGGCATTCACCTTGGTTTGGACTTGCTCGTAATCAATCCTGATATTTCCGAAGCCGCGGCTGACTTCAGAAGTATCGAACGTAGCCCGACTCTTTCTAATTTCCTGAAGAAGCTGAAGCCATTGAGACAGATCATCTCCCAGGATTTCGTAAACCTGCTCAGACCGAAGATCCCAAAGTGATTGGAACTGCAGCCACTTATCGACATACTCAGAAACATCCTTCAGTCTGGACTCGACAACATTGTAGACTTCATTGAGCTGATCGGTGCAATTTTGCGGGAGGTCGGAGAAGCAGACTTCGGACAGGCGAACATTTTGCACGACAATGGAGATCTGGTAACGCGAGGGCTTGATCTTTTCCAGATTGCAAATCACACCGAGCCATGCATCAAAGTGGGAGAACCAGCTTGCGCGTGCAAATTGCAACGGCGGGTCCAGATGGAGGACTTGGTTTCTCATCAGAATCTCGTGGAAGAGTTCAGGGAACTGGATCTTGTAATTCAAAGCATCCGCTTCGGCCGTCGCAAGTTGATGATGAGAAATCGAGTTTTCGTTGTTGATACCTTGGAAGGTCATGATCCACTCGCGCACAGCGCGAAGAAGTCGGTCGCGCAGAATTGCCTCGATGCTTCCATTAAGCTCAGCAACCCAGTATCCAAGGTTCACGTAATTTTCGAGGTTAAGCTTATCAACAGCAACTTGGATGCTGTCCAAGCGTTGCTTGAAAGCTGATGAGTCGTATGGGCATGTCTTGAGTTCATGGATCGATTTCTGAATGTTCTCATTGATGGCGTCAAGAACAGTAGTTTTCGTCTGAAGTGTCGATGCTGAAATGGCAAACTCACGGACAAATTGAACATGCTTGCTTTCAGACCGACCAGGCAACGATGCCTCCATGCCATTTGCCAATGCTGACTGCTTGACGTGTAGCTCGTAAGAATGGACGAAGGACTCCCACCGGAGAGGGATACCCTTGGCAACCATAATCTGTGCATCGTTCATGTAGCCGTTGAGAAGCATATTGACATCGGTCATCGACGCGATTGCTCGATTGGTCTGCAACAGGGTGCGAACACTCTCCATCAGGCTAATGGCGTAGGGGTAAACACGCTTAGCCTCCTTCGAGATATTGCTGACAGCATGAGGAACTTGGAAGTTGAGCCAGATAAGATTGCGGACCTCCTTGAAGAGGGCAATTATCTGAGCATCGAAGTTGACTGCCAGCTCCCAAACGTTTCCTGCAGATCGGTTGCGCACAACGTTAAACAACCGTCCAGCAATTGTAAAATGACGCCGTTGAACATCCCACAGCCATGACTCGAAAACAGGCCGGGTATCGAGCTTCTTACGGAACAGGTTACCCTCATTCTGTAATTTCTGGCCCTCTGCGTGCAGGTGCCAGTTCTCACCGAGAACATTTTCGACCTTTCGCATGTAGCCATCAAGCTGATGCTCGATCTGGCGAGTCCAGATAATGGCGCCCGACACGGGGGGCAGGTCCCGCAGTTGGGCCATAGCATGAGCTTCCGAATTACCGTACTGTTGTTTGAAGCGCTCATGCAAAGCACTGATGTCTCGCTTGACATTGTCAATAAGTTGCGTTTGATATTCGCCAATTGCACCACGAATCTTAGGACGAACGAGAAGGGCGTTGAACTTCGAGAACACACGGAACATCTCATTGGCATTCCTGGCGGTCGCCAGACGGTCACGAAGACGAGCAATGATAGAGTTCTCAACACGGGAAGTACGCTCACTGTAGGCAATTTCAGCCTGTTCCCAGGTGAGAGATCCCTCCGGTGAGACATCCAAAACGTCCACGTTCTTGAGAGCAGCGTAGGCGTGCGCAACTTCCTCTACGGCATCAACATCACCAATCTCCTCGACTATCACAGCGCCGTCAGCATCAACTCCAGCTCCATTCTCGGCAGATGAAGAGCTGTTGGGACCTAGGACGTTGATAATGGTTTTCTGGAGCTGTTCATGGTTGATCCTGAATGTGTCGACGTACTTCAGCCGCTCGCGGGTTTTGTCGTGTCTCGCATTGATCTTAATCGGAATAAATTTTTCGTTACGACGCCGTGTTGATTCACGAGCAACGTTTGTGAATTCCTTCAAGTTCTCATCCCAAGTGCGCCAAATCGCTTGTGTGGTCTTCATCAAAGACCGGAACTCGCGATAGTCCAGATGCAAGATCGTACGTCCATTGATCAACTCATGGATCTTCTTATCAAGATCGCCCGAGATTGCTTCAACGAGCGAAAGTGCCCGCTTAATGGGGTAGGGGCAAATCTTTAACTTTTTATTCAGGTGTGTGAAAATCAAGTTTAGTGATTCCTGGACCTTCTGCAAAGAGGTCGCAGACAGGAGTTCATCGAGCGGAAAGTCTCGCATCAGCTGGTTGTACTTCTGGACCAATTCAGTGGCCTCTTTCAGCCCAGTGTCTGCCACGAAACTGAGGGTTGGTTGGTATCGTTTCGCATGGCGAAGAATGTCCATAGTCAACCGAACACCATCGCTTTGGAGCTGAGCTTCGATTCCCTCCAAGGCAGCCTCTAAGGACAGCCAGAAGTTGACCTCAGGAGAAGCAGATTCGCTGTCGGGGTCACGGGACATCTTAGTGATTGTCTGAATGGATCTAATCCAACCGTTCACGACATTCTGAATGCTGTTTGTGAAAGCGCTGCTCTCCAATACCGCCGATGGAATCAACTCGACCGACGGTTTGATACCACGTGTTTCCGCTTCCTTAAGAGCAGCCTGCACCATTTCATGAAGAGGCAGGTTCAGAGCTGGAATTTCTACATTCTGCTGGAGGTGCATCAACCCTAGCTCCAAATCTGCGAATCTCTTCTTTGTTCCTGGGATACCAGTCTTCGCTTCCGTATCCGTTTTCGATTTCGTGCCAATAGCTGTCTCCTGGCTGCGAGTGTAGGATTCGAAGTAAGGACTCAGACAATGGTGTATCATCAAATGTAGGATTTGGTAGGGTGACATGGAATTCCCCTGCTGGGCGGTGGTATTGCTGAGAGTAGCGGGGCCGGGGAGATTCATGACTTGGACTTGCGACGCTATCGGAAGACTCATGTCGATTGGAACAGGCCGTTTAATGATCGCCACGGAGGATACGGTTGTAGGAGCGGACGAGATATCGGAGGAGAGATTGTAGGCATATTTCACCGCTGTATCTTCGCGGCATAATTAGCAGCATATCTTTGAATGCCTATACACTTGGGTTTGACATACCTTGGTCCTCCGTTTCACTGTCGGTTTCCTCCACTGTCACAATGTCCTTTTGCACATAGAGTGCAACTTGCGATTCCGAGGCAAATCGTGTACACCGTTGTAGTGTTTCATTGTACTTTGATTCCGAAAGCAAGCTCCCAGCGCTTTCCAGCTCGAACCTTTGGGCTCCCAGTGTCACCTGAAGCACTTCGGTCAAGTACTGAATGACCGCGCCGGAATCAACCAGAGCTGCGGTCTCTGGTGCTGAGGCGCCATTTGGCACACCTGATGAGGCGACCTCCATGATGCCGAGATTATTATGACAAATTCAAAGTGTTCATCGGCGGTAAGGAATAATAGGAGCGCGGATCGGGTGGGTGTTTGGGATGTTGAGATCGCGTCAAACGGGTTGGGCCGAAAAACACAGAGCAAAAGGATAATGACAAAGGCTGGAAAGAAAGCTAAAATCTAATCGATTAAAAATGGTTGCAAAGATAAATTCCAGGCCCATGCCGTCCTGGGTCCTATGTCTGTTGCAGATCAAAAAGTTACGCGGCGTGTTTGCTTTACTTCAGGGGATAACACTATTCCCCATTAGGTTAAGCGTGACACGACCCCCATGTGACACCGCACATCCATGGCTCTCGTCCCTATCCCGTTCCTTTCGAAGTATAAGATTCACCTTCATATTGACGGGTACATTCTCGGGTTACTAGGTAATGGGATTTGAATATCATAATTTGCAAATGCCACTAAAATGAAACAAAGGAACAAATTTCGCCCAATCTGTCCTCCACAACTTCTCTCCTTTTCAAATTGCCGTTCCGATACTTGCGCGGTCCACGGTGGCTTGCCCACCTTGACAAGCACAGTGGTATTTCTCTCGGAACTCGGAAAGAGACATTCCATCAATAACAGCCAATGCCCGGGTACTAGCCCTCACTTTAGCATACCGACTAGAAGATGCGACTGCGCTGGCAATGGATTGGCCGTGCACCATAACCGCAGCAAAGACCCTGGGAGTCTCCCCCTCCACGGCAGGGACCTCTGCAGATTTCAAGCAGTAATCGGTGCATTGGTAGCTGTGAGTCATTTGGCTATGAAGGAATGTCTATGACCTATTAGCATAAAGCATATAATCTCAGGGGCAGGAGATGATCTTACCGTTGGATGTCTGTTTGCAAATGTGTCGTAAATAGACATGTCGTGGAAAAATGGTAGGATATGCCTGTTGAAGAAGGCTTCAATAACTGTGAAGTCAAAGCCAGAATCAACAAATATAGCACCCAGATAAGCCTCAAGCATGTCGGGAAGACACTGTAATTCGTGAGCATGTGGATTGTGTCCATGTCAAATAGGGAACATACCTTTGGGGAATCTGACGACGAAAGCCAGTAGTCAACCTCTCCGTTGCTTTCGCTCTCTGCAAGCTGGATTTCCTCTGCGTATTTGCTGTTTTGGATCATGAGAGGATTGCTGAAATGCTGAAGATGAACATGAAGCCCCAGTTTTACAGCCAAAGCACCAAGAAATTTATTGGATACCATAGCCATCTATTGATTAATGTTAGTCGGTACTTGCTTGTGGCTTGACTTTATGCAAAAAAAAAATTTACGGACCTTGTGTTCAGTCAACCACTGCGGATCTCGGTTGGGGAACCGATGAAACAAGTGCTCCACGCACACCATATCCAGGAGTGCATCACCCAAGAACTCGAGCCTCTGATAACAAGGCACCTTGGCCCATGCCAATGGATAAGATGGATGCGTGAAAGCCGACCGCAGGAGACGAGGGTACTTGAACTCGTAGCCTACTTTCTCGAAGATCTGCTGGGCCAGGTTCTTTTCAAATCCATCCGCTGCCCTGTTCTGATACAAAGGCATGGAATATGCAGAGAGGTAGTCTGCCCATGAGGTTGCCGTGTGGTTCTGACTGTTGACGAAGACGGTGACAGCTTTGATAGCCATGTCATACCGATTGTCATCACCTCCTGAGAGCAACGATGCTCCTATCAATGCCTCGCAGACATCTGCTATAGACTTCTCGGCCAAGGAGTGCTTACCTTCACTGGCAAAAAACTTGGCGTGGTCCCGACCATACTCGAGCGAAAGACCTGGGGGGTACCACATATGCCTGTGATTAAGTGTCAGTAAAACACACAATTGTTAGGACAAAATGTAAAGAACATACCGAGAGAACCCACGGCTACGTATGTACTCATAGAGTTTCAGTTCAATTGCGTTTCTGAACAGGTTCTTGTTGCAGATGAGACACATTCTGTTAACGTGGTAGTCGTATTCATCATCCTCGGGATTTTGGATAAAGAGCGAAATGGATGTTGCCATCTTGAGCACAGAGTCCCCTAGTAGTTCAAGGCGCTCGTAATTTTTCCCCATTCCTCGCTGAACGTGAATCTGTAGGCTCCGATGCTCTTCGGTGTTGTCCGAATCCTTGGTGAAGGCCTCCAGGGCATACTCGAGCTTAATGCCACCAAGACCTAGCATATTGCATCCCTCCTGGGCGATCAGGTAGGACTCCATTCGCGTGATAATTGCTGGAAAGACAAAACACGTCGCGGCCACAGACATGGAAATCTGAGTTACATGTTAGCATATTGGATAAGCTGAAACGTATACTGGTGAAGAACTAACCGCCGATATAGCCAAGGGCTGAGGGCAAATGACACATCTCGAGTTAGATGCTTTCTCTTCCTCGGCCGCTTTATCAAGGAAGTTCCGCCGAAGGCAGATCAACTCCGCCTGGAAGACCGGTTGGGTCCAGATACATCGGTTGAAGAATTTGGGACGTGAATTTTTGCTCAAACTCAAGGACCAATTCATGATATTGTCTGACCATTTTCGAGATGGTGCGTAGGATGGGGGTGGGTCTGAAGGACGTAGATTGGGGTCTATAGCAAGCGGGAAGTATCGATACTTTCCATTCCAGTCGTCGTAGATGAATCGAGTCAGCAACGATTCTGGCTCCATGCCAGTAGACCACATAAGCTTGGGGTTATCTCGGACATATTGTAAAGCCGCCCAGTCAATTATGTCAAAGATACTTGTTGACGTTCCAGTGTCGACATCTTCTCGAGCAGGCGCAAGCCAGTATGGAAACTGTTCGGAGACGTGCTTATAGGTCTTGTGAAACACGTCGTGAAAGACAGCAAGTGTAAATGCAGTCAGATATTCGAGCTCTTTGGAAGCAACCTCGAGGCAGTCGTCAATACACAAAGACTGAACCGTAGTCTCGATATCCTTATCCAAGAAGACCGGGAAAGTCGGAATTGTAGTGATTCGCTCTCGTGTAAGCAATACAATACTTCCATGAGCTCGAGCCAGAGACTCTGATGGAATGAGACGAATAACTATCGCGTAGAGGCGTGTGGGAACGGTTCCCTGCAGCCTAGCCCAGATTGAGGGCTTAGTACGCATTCGGTACTGATCAGTCCTCTTTGAAGTAATAGCCAGTTTGGCATTGCGCATTGCTGGCAAGCGCTTGTGGTAGATAGAGTTGAAGTGCTCATCCAACAGATTCTTTTGGCGAAGCAGCATACACGCATCAAAAGCAGCGGACTGCTTGGCGAGTGATTTCTTCGATTCGGAACGTCCAATCACTCTTCGCACAGGCGACTTCTCCGGCATGATTATCTCACAGCTGAATGATTCGTTCTCTGACATCACAATGTATGTGACCGATGCTGATATCTCATTTTCGTATTGCTAGAATTTGGTCAGCGTTAGCTTTGATGAAAGCCAACAGAGGCAAATTGATTCTTACCAATGAGCTGGCAAATCGTGCCAATACACCAATCGCATGGCGACAGGTTAACATGGCACCTGTGCTCGGGATGGTGTATGTTCTCTTCCTATCTTCCTCGTGAATAAGCCCTTTCGTATCGTGATCGACTCCGTACAATTTTCGATCCTCCGGCAGCAGATTGCAGAAATTCTTCATGAGGTGCTGTTTATGTCAGTTAGTTCAGTGCTTTATTACCTGCGAAGCACCCTTACCTCTGCTCTTCGAACTTCCTGTAGTCTCATGCTGTGGTTGTGATTGCCACTTTCGACCATAGTTGCGTACTGCAGAGTAGTGAGTAAATCAATTGCGTCTCATAAAGGGGAAGGAAATCTAACCACTGAATCGGCGCTTCTGGCACGGCCTCGGCTTTGGACATATTGAATAACCGTGTCAAACAGATCGAATCTTTGCTAGTCAGTAAAAGTAACAGTTGTGATTAGAATGGTGAATGACATACCTAACCACCAGGTTACAATCTGGGATGTCAAGGCCTTCCTCTGCGACCGATGTTGCAAACTGGAAATGATTAGACTTTCTCTATAAGTTGTTTTTTCGGGTCGTGTAAAAGCTCACCAAGCAGTTGACTTCACTTTTTCGGAACTTGACCAAGACAAGAAACTGCCGACGAAACGTGGAATTCATTCCTAGAGCATCTCCTTTGCGAACACCAACCAAGGCATCGGGACGGAGGTTTGGGATTTGCAGCTTTTCGCACAGCTGTAACATTATTTTAGCTGTATTGCGCCGTTGTGTGAACACAATGCATTTGGTATCTGGCGACTTAGCAAACTGTTCTTGCAGCTTTCTCATTAAAAGCTCTACTTTGGAGCTGAGATCAGTCGGCGTAAATGCCTGGTTTTCAATGTATTCCTTGACAAGCTGGTTGGCTTCTTGGATCCGCTTTATGTCCTCTGAGGCCTTTTCAGAATCCTGGGGATCAGAATCGGTGGCTTTTCCGATACTACCCTCCAGCTTGGGCAGCACTTCGTCAGCCAGGGCCAAGGCCCATACCTGGTCTGCGCACCAAGCCCCTAATTCTGAGCTTGCAACCGATGCAAATCGAAATGCGCCCTCTAGTATTGGCATATCACCATACTTGATTTTCAAAGTACCATGTAGATTGGTCTCAAACGGCGGAGGAAGCTTGTCGTAGACCCATTCCTCTTCCATTGGCTTGTTCACGAAATTCCGCAGGAGGGTAAGATCTGAGGTTGTTGCAATGCGACTATCTAAAAGAGTCTCAAGTTGGCTATATACAGTCAGCAAAAGCTTCCACTTTCGGTTAGTTAGGGTGCTCACATTGCTGCTTCCGCTATGTCACACTTAGCATCAACCGGGGAAGCGGTCATCCCGAAGATCCTTGGGCGCTTTTCAGGATCCGCTTTCAGATAGCTGTCTCGGATGATACTAATAAATGTCAGCTCTTGTCATCATGTTATAATTGAACAATGGGCTGCATACCGAGCATACGGATGCTCCTTCTTGGCATGGTGAGCTTCATCG